GGGCATCTGTTCGGACACAGTCACCCAAGGTTGTAATGGTAGATTCACTATTCAAACGAGTGTCTGACCAGGTGGATGGAGGTCTTATGAGGTACGTTTCAATCTTAAAGTTATTTGACTAACGAAGGGACAAGTATTGGCCAAAATAAGGACATCGTTTATCCAAAAAAAGGGACAAGTTATATGCTGAAAATTTATTTTTTGTATCCTTATTATTGTTTCTCTCTTCTTGCTTGGGGCGTCATTGGGGTGGGTTGTAATAAGAATATGTTATTCTGCTGGTAATCATTTATGTCGTAGTATTTTAACTTTTGAGAATATAATGTTTATAGTTTGTGTACCTAACGTATTTTCTTTGACATCAGGCAGGCTGTATTGGACTTTTATAGAAGCTCAGGACAGAGAAAGCCTACTCAAATCATCATATTCAGGTTTCTTATTTTACATTTTGCTGTTTCTCACGTTCATTCTATATAATATCAATATTCTAAATCATACATTTTGAAAGAATACATTTTTAGGGAACTCAGGGATGCAAAATTTGGTTTTCCTAGTTCTTAATTGCCACGGCTTGGTCTCTGCTTTGCAAACTCTATTTGTATTGACTTCAAGTAATGGGTGTATTTATTCTTTTAAATCATCTTTTTACTTGTGAAATGCTGTATTGATATTCAAGTATATTTGATCTGCTTAGTCTCTTCATGTCGCTTACAGATTGTACAAGTTGTCCTTTAAACTTTTAATCAACCTAGCATGTTCCTTGCTGCCTGCTGTTTGAAATGCTTCAGAACATTCTCATTTTTTAGCCTTTTCTATTATCCTCATTTTCTGCTCTGGCTATATGACTTAAAATGATGTAAATCCCCCCTAATGCCCTAACTAACATTCATATTTCTTTACATATTTCTTGTAATCTAGTTTGTGGTTATTTTGCTGATCTTTCCGTTACACTTTTTTTCGGATGCTAATGCAATATTGCTTACTTGCTCATTATTCTTGGTTCAACTCAGGGATGGGGTTAGCGAGTCACAGTTCAATCATGTTTTGAACACTGAACTGGGTCAAATTATTGAGGTATGCAGTAGTGCCTTTCAATCATGGGAACTGAAAATTGTGCATTTCTTTTTTAGTTATTCATGCAAAAAAAGTGAGAAAATTGTGCTAGTTATAAATCAGCCTTAAGATGATAGTGCCTGGGACAAAACATCTCTGGTTAACGTTTACTTTATAGGCTTGCAAGTTTCTTGATGAGAATTGGAACCCCAAGTTTGTGGTCATTGTAGCACAAAAAAGTCATCATACAAGGTTTTTCCAGCAGGGATCTCCTGATAATGTTCTACCAGGTGAGGCTCACTCATTATTTGATGCATGTCATCTGGTACCTCTGTTATAGTTGTTAAAATCGATCTTTTTTTTTTATTATGATTATTATTATTATGCAGGAACTGTGATAGACAACACAATTTGTCATCCACAAAACAATGACTTTTATCTATGTGCACATGCTGGAATGACTGTAAGTTTTTCTAGAATTTTGTTTCAGTTGATGAATGGTTGTTGATTTTGCAATTTTGTCTCGCTTAATTGGTCAAGATATTGCCAACTACATTTGTACTTGCCTTCTCTATCCAGAATTCATTGTTTGTATTTTAAGGCTGTCATGTATGTTCTGTTGTGAAAGAAAATTTACAACTGAGATTGAAGTTCCTCTTGTGGTTGGTTTCCTCATCCAAGTTGTGCTCGATGCTTTTGCTGTGTCTCATGGGTATAGCCCTTCATCTTTTATTGTAATGTTGGTTTGTTTTTATAATTTGTGTTCGCTGTTCAGGGAACCACAAGGCCTACCCATTATCATGTTCTCTTAAATGAGATTGGATGTTCGGTCGACGATCTGCAGGAACTTGTCCATTCTCTATCATATGTGTAAGTGTATAATCATGTGTTGTAATTTCTTCATAAATGTTTTAAGCTGTAATCACTGTTGCATTCCTTGTAATCTCTTTCTAATGCAGTTATCAAAGAAATACCACTGCCATATCAGTAGGTAAGTATTCTGGTTGAGCTGCTTCCCTAGTGTTTATGATATGCTTTTTCTCAAACGCCAAGTTAATTTGGTTTACCTAATGATTTTCCCACATGATCTCCAGAGAATAGTTTGTCGTTTTTTGCTTGATTCTGTATTTCCATTTCTTAAAGGTGTTTGTTTCAATCTTACTTTGGATTGCAGTTGCTCCTATCCGCTATGCGCATTTGGCAGCTTCGCAGTTGGGGACTTTCCTGAAGTTTGATGAGGCTTCTGAGACATCCTCAAGCCATGGTGGGGTGACTGCTCCTGGAGCCGTACCTGTTCCGCAGCTGCCGTGGTTGAACAAGAATGTCTCCGATTCTATGTTCTTTTGCTGAGACCTTTGGACCATGTTTTCTATAGGCTTTTGGTTTTACCAACAACTGATCGGAAACTCTTTTTAAGTATATTTAACCTTTAGAGGTAGGGCTATCGCAGACTTGTTCTGATGATGATGTGCTGTTCTCTGAATCATCATCCATTTTGATTATAAACTTTTTGGATGCTTAGCCCCTAACGTATCTAAAGATATGAATGCTTGACTAGGTAATTCACAGTGGCTTTTCCTGTTTGGTTTAGAGAAGTGGTTATACTACTGCCTTTACTCTGTTCTCTTATTTACTGTTAGGCTAGGGTATCAGTTGCTTAACCAGTTAGATGTGGCTTCTGAGTAACTACTTTTGTTGGTTTCTGATGCTTAGAAACTATACCACTTCTCTATTATATAATGTAATGCTTTTCTGTGGCAAGAATGAGTCATATTTCTAGCTTATTTAATTTTTCAGGAAAGAGTTTGTTGGTTTTGGTAGGAAAAAAAATAGCATGCAAAAATTTATAGACAATACTTCCTGTTAAAAACGAATCTCCACTGTTTCATGTACCAAAGAAAAAAGAAACAGAAATATTTCAAAGGAGTATCCATTTCAAAACGATGGCAACCATAACAAGCAGATCAACTTTCCAGAATGGTTTGATGCAGTCAGTGGAAAAGTTGGTGATTCTTGGAAATTAGGCAACTTTCATTCCTTTAAATCAGTAGCCTCGGCAGCTTATGGAGTAAAATGTTTTGCCTCTGAGATTGAACGCTTCCTTACCTCCTTCGTAATGTTGTTGATGAAGTTTTCGTCAATGCAATTGTCATAGCTTGTCCTGTTCACTTGTACAACTGTATATAGCTGCTTGTTGAATCCAAAATATACACAAACTAAATATGAAATTCAGTTTTGGTCAATTGCAGTTTCAACATTTGTAATTATTAGAAGAAAAAGAAAAAAATCAAGATGCAGAAGTAAAGAAGGATAGAAAAAAAAAAGAAAAGAGAAATGAAGGGCTTTTCCAAGAAGATAAAAGGTTGAATCACACTGAGAGAACTTACAAGCCATGTCACCCGTAGAACTGCTGGATGGATTATGCTTATGAATGAATCGAGAAAACGATTTATATTTGAAAATAATTTATGATAGCTATTTTTTTTTTTTATATTTTTTGGGAAAGTGGAATTATCGATATCAAAATTAGTTTTACGACCTTGACTAAGTAGTTAGTAAAAACATGATAATACGACCCTGACTAATAGGTAATAGTAATAGTGTAAGTCTTGGCTAACGGGTTATAATAATTAGTAATGATCATGAGAATGAAATTGTTAATACGATCAATGTCACAGGTATTAACAGTGACCATAACTAACGATAAATAAATGATAATGATGATTTATGATGATGATGATTTACGATGATTTTTAATTATTGATCCATAATTTAGTTTGATTACGATATTTAAAATGATAGCATATTTTGCAATTGTTTATGAATTGACATGTCTTTATATTGATTTATGAATTTACGAAATGTTTGATAGAAAGATGATCTTTGAAATGTTTTAACATCATGATTTTATCGAATGTTTTGAATGATCTATATGATATGTATAAAACGTTACTTGATCCAGTAAGGTGTGTAAGCTTATACTTGCTGAGCTGTGGTTTGCTCATTTCTCTTTTACTTTTTTTTTTTTACAAATGAGTAAGTGATAAGTTTGCTTAGTTTTGTGAAAGCTAGAAGATTAAATTGGAAAGATTACTTAATCGTCAGAGACAATGTCGATAAATGAAATCTTATGAAATGATTTTGTATTTATATGATTTGTATTTAGATATTTAGAGATGTATCATTAGTTGGATTAAAGATATAGATTTTACTGAACATATTATATCAATTTATTGAAGAATTTTAAAATGATTAAGAAATAAGGCTTCGTATTACTTTGAGATTTTATTTCAAAGTAATATGATCGTGTTATGTTTTAATTTCGGAGCATGACAACTGTACATTGGCTTGGTTTATAATGGTTTGCCATAGAGAAAAAAGAAACATGCATAAACAGATGGGAAGTAGAAGATAGACCATTCAGTTTTTTAAACAGCATAAAGATCTATGCAGACAACAGAACTTTGACGGTAATACATTTAGGGCTTCATCCTCCCTTCAGGTAAACTATATTCAATTTTCTTCACTTACAAATGACATAATGGGGAGATAAAAGATGAAAGCACACCACACAACCTATTTCTTGTGTGACTAAGATGACTGAGTACTAATACAAAACAAAGACAAAATTCAAAAAGAGGTATAAGAGTAAATATTTTTGGTAGAACTGTTAGAAGATATGTTTAGGACTACTAATGTGGATTCATGAATGTTGCTTAGTTAAAATGTTTCATGTTGTTCCTGTTTTTTTGGTGTTGGTTATTTTTTTGTTATTCATGCTGATGGTCATGGCTTAATCTTAGGATTATGATTTTAGTGGGTAGTTATTAATTAGGCTTTAAATTGTAATGTTTCTGATGTTAAGAAATGCAATAGTGAGTAAAATTTTCTTTACTTCAAAAATAACAACATTTGGTATCAGAGCTATCTTCTTAAGGGATCTGTATGTGAAATTGACGCGTCATGGAAGCTGAAGCCAGTTTCTCTGCAATTGCTCCGCGGTGTTCGACGGAGATAACTACCAGATTTGGGCATTACGTATGGAGACATACTTGGAAGCTTTAGATCTTTGTGAAGCAGTGGAAGAAGACTATGAAATTCCTGCACTTCCAAACAATCCCACCATGGCACAAATTAAAGCACAGAAAGAAAAGAAGACAAAGAAATCAAAGGCAAAGGCCTGTTTGTTTACTGCAGTCTCATCCATCATCTTCACTCGTATCATGTCTCTGAAGTCAGCAAAAGAGATATGGGATTATCTCAAGAATGAATATGAAGGAGATGAAAGAATTAAAGGGATGCAAGTCCTTAACTTGATTAGGGAATTTGAACTTCAAAGAATTAAGGACTCTGAGACGATTAAAGATTAATCCGATAAGCTTCTGAGTATCGCAAACAAAGTAAGGCCTATTGGATCTGAATTTACTGACTCAAGAATTGTAGAAAAAATTCTTGTTACAGTACCTGAATGATATGAAGCAACCATCACTGTCTTGGAGAATACAAAAGATTTGTCAAAAATTTCCTTAACAGAATTGCTTAACATTTTACAAGCACAAGAACAAAGAAGACTGATGAAGGAAGATACAACAATTGAAGGAGCTTAGACAGTCAAGCATCAAAATATGGCCAAAAGAAAAGAAAAAGAAAAAAGATTTTGAAGAAAATGGATAAGTACTGCATCAGCCAATGCAAAAAAAGAATGAAAATCAGAGAAATTCTATTCACCTTGCCAACATTGTGGAATGAAGGGTCATCCTCCATTTAGATGCTGAAGAAGACCTGATGCTAAATGCACTAAATGTAATCAGATGGGGTATGAAACTGTTATCTATAAAAATAAAATTTTACAACATGGTGAAGATGCAAAGATTGTTGATCAAGAGGAGAAAGATTACCTGTTCGTAGCTACATGTTTCTCTGACATCAAATCAAGTGAGAGTTGACTTATAGATAGTGGTTGTACTAACCACATGACACATGACAAGGATCTATTCAGGGAAATAAGCAACGTAAACTCATCGAAAGTTTGAGTTGGTAATGGCAAGTACATAATTGTGAAGGGAAAAAGAAAAGTTGCAATTTCAATTTGTTCAGGTACAAAGTTCATTTCTGATGTATTATATGTCCCTGAAATTGATCAAAACTTGTTAAGTGTTAGATAACTAATTGAAAAGGGTTATAAAGTTATGTTCGAAGATAAAAGTTGCTTGATTAAAAATGCAGTTAGCCAAGATATTTTCAAAGTAAAAATGAAAGGGAAAAGCTTTGCTCTAAATCTATTGGAGGAGGAACAAACTGTTTTCCCAATAAAAAAAATATCACTGAAGTATGGCACAAAAGGCTCGGGCACTATCATCATCAGGGGCTGCTGCAGATGAAATCTAAGAAGATGGTAAATGATTTTCCAAAACTTGATGATCATGTTCCAAACTACAAAGCATGTCAGTTTGGAAAGCAAAGTAAGAAACCATTTTCCAAGGTAACATGAAGAGCATCAAAGAAGTTACAATTAATTCATACTGACATTGTAGGCCACAAGAATGCTTTTTCTGAAAAATATTCTTTATTATGTTACATTCATTGATGATTTCACCCGTATGTGTTGGATCTTCTTTTTAAAGTACAAGTCAGAGGTGACTCAAGTCTTCTAGGACTTTAAAGCCAGAGTTGAGAACGAGAGTGGCTGTAAAATTCAAACTCTCAGATCAGACAATGGCAAAGAGTACACTTCTGAAGCATTCACTCATTTTTGTGAAGAGACAGGCATCCAACATCAATTAACCGTTCCATACACTCTACAACAAAATAGAGTAAGTGAGAGACAGAATAGATTCATATTGGAGATGACACGATGTATGCTACATGAGAAGAACCTACCAAAATAATTTTGGGCTGAAGCAGCAAATATTGTTATTTTTTTTGGCAAAACAGGCTTCCCACAAAAGTAGTGAAGGATCAAACACACTTTGAGGCATGGTATGGTTATAAACCATCTCTAAATTTCTTAAAATATTTGGATGTTTGTGCTTCACTTATGTTCTATAGACCAAGAAAGATAAATTAGATAAAAGAGCACTTACAGGCATCTTTATTGGCTACAGCTCAGTTGCAAAAGCTTATAAAGTTTTTCAGCCACAAACTGAAAAAATTATTATAAACAGGGATGTGCACTTTATGGAAGATGAAGAGTGGAACTAGGATGATACAAAAAGATGGATCCAACCTTAAAAAAGCACAAGCTCAAGTTTTCTAGCATTGGAGATTGGGAGAATGAAATGGTGGATGATAGTCCTATCAAGGTATAAGACTACTTTTTAATGTTTATCAAGATGCAATATTGCTGTGTGTGAACCTACAAATTATGAAGAGGCCAAGACGGATCAAAATTGGATTGTTGCAATGAAGAAAGAGCTATTCATGATTGAAAGGAATGAAACATGAGAGTTGGTTGATCGACGCAAAAATAAAAAGTAATTAGAGTCAAATGGGTGTACAGAACCAAGCTTAATGCTGATGGCTCAATCAACAAGTATAAAGCTAGACTCGTGGTCAAAGAATATGCTCAAATACTCGATATGGACTAACTCAGATACTTTCACACCAGTCGCTAGACTCGACACCATCAGGCTTTTACTCGTCATTGCAGCACAAAAAATTGGAAAATGCACCAATTAGATGTCAAGTTAGCATTCTTGAATGGTTTTCTGTAAGAGGAGATTTATGTAGAACAACCAGAAGGCTATGTCAATGAAAGAGAAGAAGACAAGGTTTATTTTCTTAAAAAGGTACTTTACGGATTGAAGCAAGCTCCAAGAGCTTGGTACAGTAGGATTGATGAATATTTACAGAACTTCGAATTTGTCAAAAGCTTATCTGAATCAACTTTATATGTCAAGCACAATGAAGCTGACATTCTTATCATTTCACTATATGTGGATGACTTACTTGTGACAAGAAACAACACAAGTATTATGGAAAAGTTTAAGCAAGAGATGATGGAGTTTTTTTGAAATGACAGATCTTGGATTGATGACCTTTTTTCTTGGAATGGAAATCAAACAGAATGAACATGAAGTCTTCATCTGTCAGAAGAAATATGCCAAGGAGATTCTGAAGAAGTTTAAACTCGAAGAATGTAAAGAAATAAAGACACCAATGAACTCAAAGAAAAAGCTCTGTAAAGAAGATGGAATAAAGAAGATTGATCAGGCATATTTCAGAAGCCTGATTGGTTGCTTAATGTTTCTCACAGCACTCGACCTGACATTTTGAATGATGTAAGCATTTTATCTCGGTTTATGCATTGTGCAAGTGAATGGCATCTCAAGGCTGCAAAGAGGGTGCTTAGATATGTGAAAGGCACAAGTGATTTTGGCATTAAATACACAAAGAGCAAAGAGTTCAAGCTGGTTGGTTTCTAAGACAGTGATTGGAGAGGTCCATTGATGATATGAAGAGCACTTCAGGCTATTGTTTCACACTTTTTTTGGTGTTTTCTCATAGAGCTCAAAAAAACAAGAAATTGTAGCTCAATCCACAGCTAAAGCAGAGTTTATTGCTGCAACAGCTGCTGTTAATCAAGCTTTGTGGCTAAGGAAGATTTTAATCAATCTTAACTTAGAGCAGGAAGAAAGCACAAAGATTCTTGTTGACAACCAAGCTGCCATTGCTATCTCTCAAAATCCCGTGTTTCATGGGAAAACTAAACATTTTAAATATTAAATTATTCTTCTTAAGGGAAATACAGAAAGATGGAGTTGTTGTTCTTGTCTACTGTAAAACAGAAGATCAAGTTGCAGATGTTTTCACCAAGCCACTGCCAGTTAGCAAGTTTGAATTTCTGAGGACAAAACTTGGTGTTTGCAGCTCCTAAAGCAAAGAGGAATGTTAGAAGATGTGTTTAGGACTGCTAATGTGGATTCATGAATGCTGCTTAGTTGAATGTTTCATGTTTTTCATGTTTTTCTGGTGTTGGTCATTTTTTTGTTATTCATGCTGGTGGTCATGGCTTAATCTTAGGATTATGATTTTAGTGGATAGTTATTAATTAGGCTTTAAATTGTAATGTTACTAATGTTAAGAAATGCAACAGTGAGTAAAATTTTCTTTGCTTCAAAAATAACAACAAGAACTTACCTAGACATGAGAATCAATTAAACAATAGAAGTTAGTTGTGCAATAGTTGATCTTTCATTTCAAGTAAAACAGTTATTTAATAACTTAGAAAGTTCTGAAAGAAAGTCCACCTCACTGCAACCAATTCCCAACTTCTTCCTGTCACTCAGGCAGCGCTTATGAAACTTTAGGTACCTGAATGTAAAAACAACTGAATTAGCCAACTCTGCTTTTCAAGTGCTCATTCTCATTCTCTCCATCCTTATATACCTCTCTGAGCAAGTACAAGTACATGCAGAAGGGCTCTAGCACAGACCACAAAGAAAGTCATTTTTAGGTACAACAAAAATCTGACAAAGTCTTGAAAGTTATATGTGGA